ATGTTTCTTGCTGCCATAACGGTAGATTGTAACAATATTGGGGGCATGCCTCATTGCCCACCTAACCCGATAATAATGGCTGACATTCCATCGTGATTGAGCCATTACATTTTTTTTTTCAGCGCCTTTCTTTCATCTTTCTATTTTTCTGAAATTTCTTTTTATATATTTTATAAGAATGAAATATATTCATTCTTTTAGCAACGTATAAGTTTTCTTTGTTTTCTTTCTTTATTTTCTGTTTTTCTTTTTTCTTTTTTGTTTACTACTTTTTCTTCGTTAATGCTTTCTTTCGTTTTTTTTCATTTTCTTTTTAACTTTCTCTTTCTTTTGACCCGATTCATTCACTTTTTTATTTTATTTTTTCTTTCATCTTATAATTTTCTTTTTTTTTTCCCTTCTTCTCATCTGACAGGAATTCATTTTCCAACCTTTTTGTATGCGTCTTTAGTTGCCGTTTTAATATCTTAATTGCTTCGCTTTCTCTTCGTTTAGGTCAGTTCAATTCATTCATTCAATCTTTTTTTTTTTATTATTGTGAGCTCACTTTTCTTTAGTTTTCTTCTTCTTCTTCTTCTTCTTCTCTCTCTCTCTCTCTCTCTCTCTCTCTCTCTCGTCCTTTCTTATTCTTTATTTTATACTTTCTCTTTGAAATATATTCCTCTTTTCATTTCCTCCAACTTTTCACTTTTCATTTTTACATTATTTTCTTTTTTCCATTGTTCGTTTTTAAAATTATTTCTTTAATTTTCTTTACCTGTAATTGTCTTTCACTAAGCAATCATATTTCAAAAAGATGTCTTTTCTACCGACACAGTACGAAATAAAGAACAAGAGAGAGCAAAGTTAATAAAGAAAACTGTGTCATTCAAAATGGAAACACGGCCCGCGAGTTGAGATTAACCGGCGAGTTGCGATTGTGGCTCGAAAGTAAAAAAAAAATATATATATATATATATATGTATATATATATCAGCTGAGTTTAAATTATGAAACACACGACATCAATCACGTCAACAAGTGTTGACTCACTCTTTTAAATTATAAAAGAATCTTTTATTTATTTATTTTTTTTTTTTTTGTCCATAAGTTCGAAAATAGAATCCCAGACGAAACGGAAAAAAGTTCCTTATGAGAATATCGAAAAAAGGAGGAGACAACTCTTCTTCTACTTTCGGTTTTTGAAATATTTTTTGTTTGTTTTTTATTCACTTGTTTTTGTCTTAGTTGCAATAACACTTCTTATGCCTTTCGTTACTTTTATTTTTGCTTGGTACATAAACTGTTATGTAATATCAGTCATCCTATATGGCTGTGAATGTTGGACAATCTCTTCACAGATGAATCCCACAGACAAACCTCAGTTTCAAGTGCTTTTTCATGTATTGCTTCTAATACCCGATTCCATCATCTGTTGCATGCGATGTTAGAATTGAGTACCAAATACAAGAGAAGATTAGAACAGAAGCAGCCTGAAAGAAACGCTAAAATAAATAAATAGGGGAAAAAAGGAACAGCCCAAGAGGCAAATTAAAAACTAGGTGCTTCTTACCAACATTTTCATTTGGATTATGATGTAAAAGAATGCCGTATGTCTTACAGCCACATCACATTGAAATACCGCTTCCCGTACGAAGTTAAACAATGTCGAGTCTGGCCAGTACCTAAATGGGTGACTACTTGGGAATACCAGGTGCTGTAAGCTTAGATGTGCGGGAAGTTAATATTTAACAGACCCCCCCCTCTGCGTATATGGCACAAGGCCGAGTTTACCGTGGGTTCTCCGAGCCCGTAGGTTCGGCCAAAAATATTCCCTTAGAACCTGCATAAACGGGTTCAGTGTCTGTCTCGCTCCCTGGACGAAACTTTGCCCTTCTGCAAAGCCTCGTCCGGGTTCCTCTCTGCCTTCAGCAGAGAGTTCGACAGTACGAACACGCTATGGCACTGTTGTATGGGAAGTTTAATGGATAACAGCTTGCAATTTTTTATCGGACAGGCGAGTTCCAATTCCAGTTGGGATTATTACATTCACTTACGCGCAGATACCCTTGGGAAACGTATAAATCCACCTCTTCTCTCCCTAGCTATTAGTTAATTAGTAAGACTAGTATCACTAATCAATTATTATCTCAAAAAATTCTTACTAACTAAAAATATTTTCTGGCTTTAAATAACTTGCAAAGGGTTGATAAACCGTAGAAAACGAATGAGTCTCTGAATTTCTGGGATGTGGAGTTATCATTATTTGTAATGTTTATATTCGGATTATTGTCCTCATTTTTGTTGTTTCTATCACAACGTTTCGGTCGAAGGGCACAACGACCATACGTGATAACAACAACAAAGATGAGGACAACAGTCCATATATAAATAGTGTAAATAAGAATCACTCAATCATAAAAAAACAACGTATTTGTGTATGTAACTCTAAATAGTAATTATTTACTTGGTCGTAGTGAAGCCGATCGATCACGATTTCCCCCATGACTTACTTTGTGATGTAATGAATATGCATACACCTGGGTTCCCCCTCACAGTAATATGATTGGCTGGTGTCAGCCATAAATACAGACTGATGTGGAGGTACAGGACGACGCCTATTGACGACGCCTATTGTCTTCACCTATTGCCTACGCCTATTGCCTACCACTACGACGAGGACCAGTCCATTATGGTTACCTGCTAGATTGACCTACTCGGTTACAGTAGTCAACAACCAGTTTGCTACTTCGAACAAATATATCCCTTTTCGGGACATATCACTTTGCTAAATGATTAAGCACATTGCCAAAATGGCAGTGCTTTAGATTTTAAATCCGAAGCTTTTCCTGTTTTTTTTAGGGCATCTCAAATTATTTACCCTTTGTCTAATATCGATCAGACTGCTGTTTACTGATACGCAGATGACAGTGTGTTGATGACAGAAAGAATATGCAAGAACTCCAAGATAAGATCGCGCGATCGCGAATTCCGTGACCCATCGGGATGGTAGGGACACCCCATGTACTACAGCCGCAGTAGAAGTGGTGATTCTTCGGCAAGATAGCCTGATGGAGGTCATCTCTCTCCAGGCCTGTTGGCACCCAAGCCCTCTATCTTGCTATTTACTGTGGGAAGTTGGGGGAGAAGAAGAGGATCCATACCTTTCCCAAGTTAATGAATCGAATGTATCCGACTCATTCCGAGCCGCTATCTATTACTCCACCGTGCCTCCTCTTCTCCTAGGAAAGCGAGAAGAATGGATTAAACTGTAAGACGGAATGTGTGGCCGTCAGCCAGAGGGGCAGTCCAATGTGTGAGCCACGAATCAGAGTTATGTCGGCGCAGAAGTTTACCTATCTGAGTAGTGTTATAACAAACGGCCGAAAGTTCGGTACAGAGATCCGAAGGTGCATTGCAATAGCGAAAGATGCCTTCCAAAAGCTAAACAAAGTATTAGCAGCTAGGAAAACTTCATTAGAAACAAAGAAATGTGTGCTAAACTGTTATGTAATATCAATCTTCCTATATGGCAGGGAATGCTGGACAATTCCCTCATTGATGGAGATGAATCTTGTAAGGACAGAGAAGTGGTTCTGCAGAAAAATGATAAGAATACCGTGAACTGAACATTTGCGCAACAAGGAAGTTTTAAGGAAATAGGAATATAAAGGGCGCAATTGAAATTTATGGCGCGCATAATGAAAAGAAGGGCTTGGAAAATTTAACACTCTCAAGACATATAGAAGGCAAAACTATCAGCGAAAAACAGTAGTGTTTATGCAAATCGATGGCAGAACAGGAACTAGATAGCATAAAAAGTGGACAGATATGGCGTTGATCTACAAAGAGTAAAAAAGTCGTGGAGAGCCATGATCTCCCACATTCTGAAGGAACACGGCAAATATCAAGACTTTGGATTTATCTAGATTTAAAATAATAAACAGGTCTAAAATGATTGGTTGATTTGTCTGTTTAACAGCATATCAACTCCTTATGGCTCATTTAATGCCGGAATTTAATTTTTTGAGAACTTTAAGTAATAAAATTATGATATATGTTGTTCTACTTTCACAGTTGAATACATGGTAGATGATACTCAGCTTTTGCAAATATACATATTTGTGTGGCCATAATTACTACAGGCAGTGATATGTGTTTTATGTTGTAGTTTTGTTGAAGTTGTTTTTACAGTTTGATTTCTTTGAGAAATTGTAGGATATTATATGGGTTAATGTCATGAAAGCTTTTTTTTTTTGTTTTGTTTTTTTTTTTTTTTTTTCAGGTAAGTTTGATAGTATTTCAGACTGATTTGGGTGAAGTCGCTACAATTTGTTAGTATGCGCGTATTGTTGGCAATTTTACTATTAAAATGTATTTTTATACTTTCAGTGTTTCATATTTGTTTGGGAGTTCACTATTTGCCCATAGCTGTGACCCCAACAGGTGCTACCACCCTTGGTCAGGGTTTACCTGGGAGCAACATCAATTAAGAGGTGATTATTTCAATCTCCCAATCAGACACCTTGTTACCGAATGTAGTTTACTGTCAGACCCAGGACCGGTCTAAAAGGAAATTCGGCTAAATATTTTGTATAGATTAATGTATACTGACTGTCATACTATTATTTTAATTATCTTATTACTTAAACGTTATTTTTAGTAGACGCTCTGTTTATTTATTATACAACATATTTAATAAGAAGATTTCTAGACTATTCAGACCGGTCAACGAAAATAAATATACTGTTTAATAAATACACGTAGCATCTACTCAGATAAAGGTATCCACTAAAAATAGCGTTTAATTAATAAAATTTGTTGGATTGATAAAAAGAAACACATCGCTTCTTTAAAGTTTTCAGTTTTCCTAAATATAACACAAAAAAAAAAAAAAAAATGCGTGGTCATCGGCAAAAGAGACAGCCCAAAATGTGGGGATGACAAAATCAAGCAGGTACAGAAATTCCGTTCTCTATCCTTGGCTGAGGGCCAGTTTAGAAGAACGATAATTCTGAATTCAAAACCATCGAGAAAGCAACGGGAAGCCATTCCACTGTCTTTCTCCGGACGTCCTGGCAATTCATGGATAGTAATAAATAAAAGAATCTCTGTGGAGAGTCATGATCGCCTACTTTTGGAAGGGATATGTCAATTTCAGAAAATATGCATTTGTAGGCGTTTTCAGGCGACGTGTATACCGATATAACCGGGCGTGTGAGTAAAGGTGCGCCTTTTGATATGCGAGCGGGAGTATTTAATATTGCTTATCTTTGTCGGTGTGTATAAACAAATAACAACCCGAGTTAAATCTTGTCAATGAATGATAAATGTCTGTGAGGAACACAATGAGGACGTGTTGGCGTAGATAAAAATTCCAAAATGTGCTTCCCTCATGTTCTCTATTTATTGCATTTATATATTTTCTTGCGTTTTCCTTTTAAAAAAATATGTGGGATTAAAAGTAATTTACGCTTTCTCTTCGTGAATTGATATTTTTTGTGTAGCGGCATATCAACTCCTTATGAGTCATTTATTGCTGAAATTTAATTTTCTTGGGAGCCTTGAAGTAATAAAAATAAAAGATATATGTTCTTCTGATTTCATAATTGAATACATGGTAGATGATACTCAGCTTTTGTGCATATACATATTTGTGTGGGCATAACTACTAGAGGCGGTGATATGTGTGTTTTATGTTGTATTTTTTTTTTTAATTATATTTTGGAATACAGTTTGATTTCTTTAAGAAATTGTAGGATATTATATGGATTAATGTCATGAAAACGTTCTTTTCATGTTGGGGGTTTGACTGATTTTGTTTAGCGGAATATCAACTTTTATGGGTTAATGTTGTAATCTAAACATTTTGAATACAATGTTTTATTTTTGTTTTGTTTTGTTTTTTTTTGGGGGGGGGAATATTTACCCATAGCTGGGACCCTACAACCCCGGGTTAGGGTGGACCTGGGAACAATAGCAATTAAGGTGGTTCTACGCTCCTCAAAACCTCCAGTCTCCCGACCAGAAGCCTTGCTGCCAGTTGTAATTTATCGTCTGACACAGGACTCTTGGGGTGGGGGAACTGGGAACTTGATGTCTTGCTATGGGAACTACAGCAGCAGCATAAACATGATGAGGTTGCGACTCTAGACTCCACAGGAATTTATGGGCGCTAAAGAGGAGGAGGCGGAAGAGAATTAGCTGTTTCGGGTTGTGCAACATGATATACTGGTCCTCCTCGTCTTGAGTAGAAGGAAAACTATGTACGTTGAGGACATATATTTTGTAAATATCATGGTTGAGATGCCATGGTCCGAAACTCATGAGCAACGCCGAAGATTTAGAGAAAATAGAATCAAGAGCGACACTTATAATCAACATCAAGAAGAGATAGTTGAGGTTGCTATGGTGCATAATGTGGAAAGACGGCTTGGGAAATCTGATACTCACAGTACAGACTGAAGGCAATAGAGGCAGAGAAAAACAACGCATAACATACTTAGTGACCTTGAGTAAATGGATAACGGAATAGGGTTTAGAAAAAATAACAGAAAGACAAAATTTATTAAGAGCTATAAGGGACAGGAAGTTGTGGAGAGCGATGATCGCCTACGTAAGAATGGTTTAAATGTAATTATATGCCTTCAACTAATAATTGCTGGTTATTTTACTACAGGTATTGTTGGTAATTTTACTAGAAATAGGTACTGATGGTAATTTTACTAGAAATAGGTATTGATGGTAATTTTACTAGAAATAGGTATTTATGGTATTTTTTTTATATAAAAATGTATTGCTGGTATTTTTATATTTTCATAATGTTTTATTTTTGTTTCAGGGTTCAATATTTGCCCATAGTTGGGACCCTAACAGGTGTTACCACCCCGGGTTAAGGTGAACCTAGGAACAACAGCAATAAAGAGGGGGTTCTACGCTCCTCAAAACTACCATGCAAAATATTTATATTTTCCTTTTAGACCAGTCCTGGGTCTAACAGTAAACTAAATCCACTAACAAAGTGTCTGATAAGATGTTGTTTTTCCACAAACGAGAAAGATGTTCTCGTCGAGAGAACCCGTGCCTTGGGCGCCTGTTGAGATTTGATCTCAGTCCAGACCTCAAGTGGACCCCGTACATACGATCTATCGCTAAAGATGCAGGGAAAATGGTCTGTTCCCTGTACAGCACCAGTGACTATCTGACTCCTCCTTCTATTCCCCACCTAAAATGGAGTACTGCTCCAATATATGGTCGGGGGCTACCCAGTCATCATTTTTCAGTCTCGATAGTGTCCAAAAGCGTCTACGCGGTCTTGTAGGTGATGAATTATTTTCCATCCTACAGCCCGTTTCCCACAGACGAAACGTTGCACGCCAAGACCATTCTATCACTATTTCAATGGATAGTATTCAAACGAATTACATTCTTTAGTTCCACTCGTTCTAAACTTCACAGCTAAGACCCACTGTGCCACGCCCATTGTAGAGAACAACCCTCATTCCCTTCGTATTCCAATGGTGAGATATAAGTTCCACTGCACGATCCTACACAAAATGTTATAGTAATTTCATTATAATAAAGAAAATAAATCTATGGAGAGGCATGATCATCTGCGCCCTTAATGGCCTCTAAAAATGCTTGATTTATTTTTTTATTTTTTTTCTTGTTTAGTTTGGCTAATCGTAAGAGGGTTTTGCTTTCTAATTCTATAAATCAATTTGTGTGTGAACCTTTGTTTTTGACGATAAGGGATATCAGATGTCCCCTTTTTTCTTTGGGGGGGGGGAAGCGGTATTTTCGGAATTGCAGCAGCTTTAATATGATAAAATTATGTCGTTATTTAGTCTTGAATGTGAATACACATTCACACTAACAGGCCTAACGAGTAAGTTACACTCAGCTTCTTCGCCAGAACTGTTGCCATTTGAATCGGAATCTCGGTGGGATGCTTTCCTGATCACTACAATCTTAACGTCTACAATTCGGGGGGTCAACCGTTATCTATCCTACATATCCTCATAATATGCTACACTTGCTCCCTCAACCTACGCATTTACGACACCCTCATTCAGTAACCCTCTACTGTGAGTGGCACTTGCAGTGGGTGAAAAAATAATTTTTTTAAAGTTATCATCCACGCGCTGGTATCTTCGAGATGCGAGCAACAGTTAAACATATACCAACTATTATTTATCGCATCTCGCATAGTTTGACAATAAACAACTATTTATCCACTAATAAAATACGTCCAGAAAAATGGTTTCTATTTATTTTTACACCTTAAATATAGCTTCCAGTATACAATGTTTTATCATGTTTATTTTTGAGTTTGTTTTGTTTTGTTTTTTGTTTTTTTACGGTTTTTTTTTTTTTGTTATTATCATAGTCTTAATTGGCTGTAGTTAAAGCAGGCGGTTGTTAACAATGTTATATAAACGCGTTCTTTGGTCTACAGCACGCAGACGCATGCGCAAAGAAGCGAACATGCCCTGAGAGAGCGTGTCATGGCTTATGTTTCCAAAGTGAAAAAATGATATTCCATCGATGATTTCTCAGAAATATACAGGATATGACTGATCTGGAAGGGTTACATTGATCGCAACAGTTATGAATGAATTCAATGGCGCGTTTCACAGAATGGGGTACGAAAGCCAAGAATGGGCTCTCCACCCATTGTCGGCTGCCAGCATCAAAACGTGTCTGCTTGACTACCAGTCTGTCTGCTCGCTTATCTGGTTGTTAGCAAACAACACAGTTCTCATTCCCCACTGCATTTAGGAAAGAGAGCTGAAACAAGGTTATGCTGTGGGTCTCATTGTCTGGCTTGTTAGTCAGTTTACATGTTGGCATGTCTTTTTTCAGTATGAATATAGAAGCATTTCTACCTTAGTTTGTTCATATCTATCTATCTATCTATCTATCTATCTATCTATCTATCTATCTATCTAGGTCTGTTTATTATCTACATATCCGTCTTTCTCAGTAGGTTCATATCTATTTCATTTTATTTATATTTACATAACGCTCATTGTGTTCATAACTCTATTTGATTCTGTTTACCTCTCGCTTTCATTCTGTTTCTATCTATCTATCTATCTATCTATCTATCTATCTATTTATCGATCGATCTATCTATCTATCTATCTATCTCAGTCTATCTATCCATCTATCTATCTATCTATCTAATTCTGTTTGTATCTATCTATCTATCCATCTATCTATCTAATTCTGTTCGTATCTATCTATCTATCCATCTATCTATCTAATTCTGTTCGTATCTATCTATCTATCTATCTATCTATCTATGTATCTCAGTATATCTATCCATCTATCTAACTATCTATCTATCTATCTAATTCTGTTTGTATCTATCTATCTATCTATCTATCTATCTATCTATCTATCTATCTATCTATCTAATTCTGTTTCTATCTATCTATCTATCTATCTATCTATCTATCTATTTAATTAATTCTGTTCGTATCTATCTATCTATCTATCTATCTCAGTCTGTTCACATCTCTATCAGGTAGATTTGTCTTTCTGTCTGTCTATTTGTCTATCAATTTACTTCTACCTGCTCATATTAATCTTTCTTATATATTTTCTCTTTACTTTCTCATCTAACCCCTTCTTTTCCTTCCGACATTGTACATATTAATGAGTGACCCAATCAAATATAAATTTATGATACAAAACTAGGATAGTACAAACGTATTGACTAATAACATAACACGTTAACCCATACAATCTAATTTAGCTATATATATATATATATATATATATATATATATATATATATATATAAGACAGTTTGGAAAGCTTCACCCTTGACATGTTTCGCCAATGGGCCGGCAGCATTCTAAAAAGTATTTTATATCACGACAACAAAATCTTAATGGGTCAAAATATTAAGTGAATGAACGCTTGATTTTAATAAACTGCAACGTCATTGAAATTTGATCTTAACTAATTCCAAAATGGAAATTTTCTAAATTGTCTTTTATATATGTACTGTCCTATGGGATTCTCATTAAACACACGCGTGCGTGCGCACACACACATATATGTGCGCGTGTATATACAGGGTGTCCCAAAATGGTGTATTTACTATTTGAATCGTTATAACTTATTCAATTTATGTATTTTGACTTCTAAATAAGATTAATACGAGAGAAAGAATACACATTTAAAGAATTTGAGAATAAAATATACAAAAAAAACATGGAAAATTAACTTTAATAAGATAAAAGCTACTTGGGGCAATGGCAGAATTTTCATATAATGATGAGTTCACATCAAATGCTACAAACGTCCAGTATCATTTCCTCTGGTATTTAAGCACATTCTTCTTCAATTGATACTCTCATTTCATTAATTGTTTCAGGTTTCCTGATGTAAATTTTGTCTTTTAGAACTCTCCCCCCCCCCAAAAAAAAAGAAATCCAAGGGTGTCAAATCTGGTGATCTAGGTGGATATTCAACTGTCACACTTCTTCCAATCTGTTTTGCATATTTTCATCCATATGAAAAAATGTACTATTAACTATTAATATTTAAAGAATGTATGCATTATTTTGGGACACCCTGTATATATATATATATATATATATATATATATATATATATATATATATATATATATATATATATATATATAAAAGAGAACCAAGAAGCATACACTAAAGTTTATCACATATGGCTGCGTCTGATTTTCTGTTGTAACTTATACACACACACACATATATATATATATATATATATATATATATGTGTGTGTGTGTGTGTGTGTGTGTGTGTGTGTGAATGAATATGTGTAGTCAGCAAAATTTCATTTGAATAAGTTTTGTACAAAACATGTAACACTTTTTGTGAAGCTTTTTTATCTTTTAATTTAAGGCTAATATATTAAATTTAATATTTACAATAAGCAAAATTCTTTGCTGTATTTCAAGACTAATTTAAATTGACTGGAAGATTTTAGCCATTTCTAGCCATCTGTCAGCACAATGCAATTTTCTTTATTAAAGAAATTTCTTTATTGAAAATGAAAACGGGATCTAATAGAATCTAATTTCTATAACAATAAAGTATAAATACAAATAAAAAACAAGTGTTCAGCTGCTTATGGCGAATCACAATGTGTCTCGCTGATGTAGATTTTATTTTTTGTGAAATAAAATGAAATACTCATCATCGAAACATGCCAGAGTTAATGTCCATCTTTATCGCTATATATATATATATATATATATATATATATATATATATATATATATATATATATATATATATATTTATTTTAAAGCTAGCCTAGATATGGCACAAGGCTAAAAGTATAGAACACCCAGTGAGGATCGAACTGGCTACTCAGTTGTAATTGATCTAGAGAGACAAACTTGCTAACAGTCGAAATGCTCAATATATATATATATATATATATATATATATATATATATATATATATATATATATATATATATATATATATATATATATATATATATAGTGAATTTTCAAGTATGTGCTTAAATATGGCTACAGGCCGTAATTGTTTATGTGAGATCGAACTCACTACTCAGTCGTAATTGTTTTAGTGAGACAAGCTTGCCAACCGGTACATCATATATCAAACAATATATATATATATATATATATATATATATATATATATATATATATATATATATATATATATAGGGGCCTCTTAATAAATTGTGTCTTTCTATTATTTTTACTAAGCCCTGTTCAACCATCCATTTCCTCAAGCTCACTAATTGTGTTATGCGTTGTTTTCCTCTATCCCTTTTGCAGTCCTGTGAGTATCAGATTTTCCAAGTACTCTTTCCTCATTATGCGCCCTAGAAATTTTAGCTGTCTCTTCCTGATGTTAAATATCAGTTTCCTTTTTCGTTTCCATTTTCTCTAAAACTTCGTCGCCACTGACATATTCGGTCCATGGTATCCTCAGCATCCCTCTGAAGAGCTACATTTCTTTTGCTTCAACTCTCTTCTTCATCTTTGTCATATAGGTTTGACAGATACCATCTTCTATTCTCAGCCAAATTACTTCGTTAATCGTTTTCAGTATTTTCTTTAACCCAAATAATCTATTCGCTGGCTTTCTTATATCCGACTGCGTAATTTATTTTGTGAAACTATTTCCCAGTAATCAATCATTTTAAAAACATCTCACTTTAACTTCTTGGTCTCTTTGACCAAATTCTGTGCTTAATTTGCGTATCTTTGATTTTGATTTACATCATAGCTGAGCTCATAGAAGCGGCCAAAGCAGCTTTTTTGACTTTGCTGTCCGACCCTAAATGAGGTTATTATTGTTGTGTTAAGTGCGCTGGAGTGAACGGCTGCAGCAACAGCGAAAAAAGAGAAACGAAATGAATTTTCGAGGGAAATATCTCAGCTTACGAAAAGCAACAGCTCGTGAAGGAACGACAAAGAGGAAAACAAAAATAACAAAACAAAAAACGAAAGCCATCCTACAGGTAAATAATACTTTA